TCTTTCTTTGTTCTGTATACTTAGTATTTTAACTATGATATGCTGTGGGGATAGTCTTTCCGGTCTTGTCAATTGTGTGTTCTGTGTACTTCTTGTATCTGTATGGGTATGTTTTTCCTTAGTTTGGGGGTTTTCTTCTAGGACCTTATTGAAGATCCTTCTATGCCATTGACTGGAGATTCTTCTCCCTCATCCATTCCATGGGTGTGAGAAGGGGATTTGGAGGGAATGATCAAGTGGAGTCACCTGGCTAGTCTCTGGCAGAAGATTGCAGCACTTGGCTAGGAAGAGAGTTTGGGTGTAGTTCTTGGGGCTTATGGTTTGTGGGCAGTGAAACCAGGGCTGTCCCAAATAGGCCTAGACACTGGATGTGGGGCCCAGAATAGATCTGGGGATATGGAGACGATCAGACAAATTCACCTGGCTAGACCCTGTACAAGTTTTGCAGGGCCTGGCTGGGAGGAAAGGCTAGATGGGCACATGAGGGGTCTATAGGTTGGTGATAGATGACACAGGTCCTGGCCAGAGCCTAGAGGTTGGGGGTAGCGCATGCCAGATTGACTAGACTAGGCCAGGGCATTGGGTGTGGGACCCAGGCTCCATTTGGTGGTTGGGGAGTATGTGAAGGGATGGATCTGATGAACTCAGCTGGCTAGACTCTGGGTGGGTAGAGACATTGGTTGGGCGTGGAAATTCTTATCAAAACCACATAGAAAAGTATATAATTTTAAGTAGTAGTATAGAAAATATGATTTAAAAACAGAGAATTTGAACTAATGCATACATGGTAAATTATCTCAGAGATATATTTTGTTTAATTTCTAATGTCTTATTTTTTTTATTATCGAGAGAGACTAATTGTTCATATTTATGGGGCACAATATGGTATTTGAAACAAATATACAGTGTGCAATAGTAAATCAGAATAATTAGAATTTTCATCTTCTTAAGCATTTATCATTTTTTTGTACATTGAGAAACTTTCAGTTCCTTTCTTTACATTCTTTGTAAAATACACAATAAATCACTGCAACCCTCTTATGCTGTAGAGCATTAGAATTTACTCCTCCTATTGTGACTGTGTTTTGATGCCCATTATCCAACCCCTTTGTGATGGTTTGAATAAGAGATCCCTATAGTCTTGTGAATTTGAATACTTGATCCCCAGTTGGTGGTGCTCTCTGGGAAGGCTGAAGAGATGTGTCCTTGCTGGAGGAAGTATGTCACTGAAGGCAGACTTTGAGAGTGTAAAGACTCACACAATTTCAAGTTTGTTTTCTCTGCTTCAGTCTAGTGGTTCAAAACACATGCCTTTGTTCCACCATCATGGACTCTAACCTTCTGGAACCATAAGCCCAAAAAAACTCTTCAATAAGTTGCATTGATCATAGTGTTTTATCTAAGCAATAGAAAAGTAATTATACACTCCTATCCTGCTCCCTACAACTCTTCCTCACTTCTAGTGACTACTATTCTACATTCTTCATCTATGAACATTTTTAATTTCCACATGGAAACAAGAATGTGTAGTACTTGACCTTCCTAATCTTCAACCTTAATGCAGAATCTCTATTTATACTTTATTAAATTTCATCCTTATCTAACTTTCTATTCCTTCCAACATTGCCCTATATCTTTAATATCTGTTCCCATACATTTCCTCTGGATTTATGTATTTATGTTACAAAATTCAAGTAGTTCTTTTCAAATGTATTGTACATCCTCATGGGTCACACTGTGCACCTCACCTTTATGTGCATGCTGATTCTTTAGTCTAATTGTAGATCTAGAGTCAAAGAAGAGTGAGTCCTGGAGAGAATCAGCATTGTATTGTATAGTAGTCACAGTTTCCTGGTGCATCCCTTCGTTCAGGGATGGAAAAGCTAATGTCGTTGATAATGAAGAGGCTGCTTTCTACTGGTAATAGGGAAGCATCTTCCTCTGGCAAAGAAGATTCAACAGAATTTAGGAGCTTGATATCCCTGGCTTCAACAGGTCTTCTCACAGAATCCTACTGTCTCACAGTCAGTGCCCCCAGTTTAGCAGTTAACATCCTACAAGAGCAGGAGTTCAACTTGCCTTGTAATTTAAGTGGTCTCGAGATGAAATTCTGTATGGGATTTTCACTAATCCCTGTTCTGTGGCTATGAGCTAAGCATCTCCTTCAGGAGAAGCATGGACACTTTCAGGTCATTTAGATAGTACGTGCACGGGAAACTGGAAAGCCATCGCTCATTCCTTTCTTCATTACTTTTCCAGTGCTGTTAGGAACAACAAGCCAACCTCATATTTGTCAGTTTTCTTAAAATGTCCAAGAATATATAGACAGTCACCTGTCTCCTTGCTTCTTTTGGTGACTGACAGCATTTATCGGAGATACTTTATACATCTGCACTGCCAGAGCATGTCATGTATTACCAGAACCCTTTTTAATACTGAAATGTAGTAATTAGTTTAATTTAATTAAATCATATTTTAAAAATTTAGTTTGAATAACACAGGCAACCCACTTGCAGAAAGTCAAACTGGAGACAAATTCAAAAAATCATTTCAATTTTTTTCCCTCTAGAATCAGTCTCAGTACCAAAAGCTATATTACTTATGGTACTCTGAAGAAAGATAACCAGTAGATTAGATAAGATAGAAAGATGACTAGATGATAGATAGATAGATAGATAGATAGATAGATAGATAGATAGATAGATAGACAGATAGATAGAATTTATTATGAGAATTTACTTCAGGCAACTACAAAAGCTGAAAACTCCCACTATCCACATATGAAAGCTGCAGTCCCAGAAAAGGTGATGGTATAACTCCAGTTTGAGGTAAAAGGCCTAAGCATGAGGAAAACCAAGTGTGTACATTTTAGGCTAAATCCAAACCTTTGAAAACCAGAGGGCTGATGATGCAAGTTTCGGTTCATGTCTGAAGACCTGAGGAAAAAGGAGTCCAAATTGCTTAAGATCTAGTCAAAGAGGAGCAGGAAACTAATGTCCCAGCTAATGCAGTCAGGAAGAGAGCAGAATCTCCCTTTCTCTGCCCCCCTTTTTTCCTAATAAAGTCCTCTTCGGATTGAATGAAGCCAACCCACACTGCAGATGTTCTGCTTTTCTGACTCTACCAATTCAAAGGCCACTTTCCTCTGGAAATATCCTCATAGACACAGTGATATAAATCTTACCCAAATATGTGGGTACCCAGTTGTCTTGGTTCATTTCTCTGTTGCTGTGATAAAACATTGACCAAAAGCTACTCGGAGAGGAAAGGGTTTATTTCATCTTACACTTTTAGGTAACATTCCATCACTTAGGGAGTCAAGGCAGTGACTCAACATAGGAACACAAACATATGGATACCCAGTTGTCTTCTCTGTTGCTAAGATAAAACACTGGACAGAAGCAACTTGACTCAAGGCAGGAACCCAAGCAGAGACCTTGGAGAAATGCTGCTTACTGGATTGCTCTCCATGGCTTGCTCAGCTAGCTTTCTTTATAACCCAGGACCAGTACCCAAGGATAGCACTATCTACGGATAGCTGGGCCCTCACACATCTATCGTCAATCAAGAAAATACTCCACAGACATGCCCACAGGCCAATCTGATGGAAGTCATTTCTCAGTTCAGGTTCCCTCTTCCCAGTTGATTCCAGTTTGCATCAAGCTGACAGAAACTAACCAGCACACCAATTAAGTGGACAAAACTAGCTATGAAGCCATCCAAAGAGCACAGAGATAATCACTAAAGACATAAAGAACTGTAAAGGCCATGAGATAGGCAATTTTACAAGGGCAGAGAGGTAGCCGGTGTCACTGGAGCATAGAGAATAGACGGTGGTACAAAGGATGTTTGAAAAGTTAGGCAGAGGCCTCAAGCTATGATACAGAATTTGGATTTTATTCTTAACATCTTGGAAATTCACTGAGTGTCAAGTAGATAATAATATGATTTGATTTACTTTTTAATAAATCATCTAGCAACTCTGTATATTAAGTACTATATGGAAGCAACAATGATCAATTATAGAACTATTGCAGGCATATATTGAGAAATGATACTCTGTTTTTCTTCCTCTCCTTCCCTTCCTCCCTCCCCCCACAATTCACATGTACACACAAACACTCATTAGCAGAAATGAACACAGAACTCTGCTGAATTTGCAGCCTATTGTGTTAAATAATTTGTATTTAACACAATACATTTGTATTTAATGCACACTTTAGATAGAATTATTATATTTCTCAAATTATCTGTACCTTTATGTTTTAGACAATAATAATACTATTATACAATTATACATAGCAATACTGTATCAGTAAATGTGGAGAAAACTGAGAATAATAATAAATGCCTTTAATTGGGGAAGAAAGAAGGAAGGTGGAAGAGGATTCTTATATATATGACTAGAACCCAAAACTAAGAAGTCAGAAAAACAACTGTACAGGTTAGAGCCCTGCCATTCATTTGCTGTGTCATGGCCTGGATCATGGCACTTGATATGGCACGGGCTTCTATTTCTTTATCTGTAAGATGAGAAATTCAACAAATTGTTCTAGCTAAAATGTCACTTCTGTCCTCCAAATTGTTATCCTGACAACCACATTCTTTATCATGTAGGAATTATATCTATCTTATGCAGTCTAACCTCTGGAAATAGGAGATTCTTATTTTCAGGGAGGAAAGTTGAAATAAACAGACTAAATGAGTTCCCGAGTCACTGAAACAGTTGATAGTAGCTAGTTTGTAATACAAACCTTGTGGTCAGTTATCTAACTATGAAACTTTCTTCCTCCTTTCATTACTTAAAGTTGCTCTTAAGACTGGTCCAACACACACAAAAAAATTGCCTGCCACAATTTGCTATCTTTTTACTTTTTGCTTGGTAGCTTGAGATACATAAGACATTCTGCAGTCCGTAACAACATCTATCCACAAACTAGTAAACAGTAGGGTCTTATGTTGACCCTGCACTCTCACTAACTACCTTCTGTTTCCTATAGCTGTACGGTTCTGTGACCGGTGCCATCTAATCAAGCCAGACCGCTGCCATCACTGTTCTGTCTGTGCTATGTAAGTGACAACTATACTTTCTCTGGGCTGATGCTGGCCACTGATGGTTGCCTAGACAACAAAATGACTGATCCTAACATGGAACCATGCCTAGATAAGAGCATTTCTTTTGAGGAATAATGAACACATGCCAAACACTTTCACAGGGGTGATAATCATTCTAGTCTAAAAATAGAAAACTAATATTGCATTTTCAAAAGAAACATTTTATTTTAAATGATTTCAGATTTATAGGTTTATTGTGAAGAGAGTTCTCATATGTCCAACACCCACTTTCCCCTATTATTAATATGTTCCATTAGTACGATGCATTTGTAAAATTAATAAACCAATATCAGGACATTGTTTTTCTTTGTATTCTATTGTAATATAGCTTAATTATAGAAAGTGAAATACTCCATTAGTGAACCTCCATGTAATTTAGAGCTTTTGCTATTCAAACCAATGCTATATAAATATCTTTGTCTAGATGTCATTATATATATATATATATATATATATATATATATGAGTATATCTGTTGGATGATTTGTATATAACTTTTAAGTGGAATATACTTTTTAGATATCCTCACTTTCCCCCTAATACTCTTTTTCTGTTCCAAGATTCCATCCAGCATAGCACATTCCATTAAGTGATCATGTCTCTGTAGGTCCTCTAATCCATGACAATTTCTCAGACTTTACCTGGCTTTGATAACCTTTACAGTTAGGAGGATTAAGAATCAGATGATTTATACATTGTTCTTTAGTTAAAATTTGTTCACTCTTTCCTCATGATCATTATAATAAGGGAATGCGGAGCAGACCATGGAGCTAAAGTACTATTCTCATTGCATGGTATCAAGGGTACATATAAACCTGACTTTTGACTACGGTGTTAATATTGAACGTCTCTCTCAACTGATGTTTGTCAGGTGTTTCCAGTGTAAAATTATTCTGTCCTCTTCTCATTTCTGAATTACTCTTTGGATGGAAGTCACTATACATAACTCCATACTGAAGTAATAGGAAGTTATAATTCCTCTCCCTGAAGGGAAATAGATGCATAAATTATTTGGAATACATCTGCATTAGGAGATGTGTCCCTTCTGCCACACTTATTTGTTTATTCAGTCATTTGAATCAATGCAGAGGAAGAGATACTTATTTTCTATTTTGTGTTATTAACCAACATTGTATTTTATTTTGTCTCTCAAATAGTTCCAGGTTTGTAAAAACCCATTTTTGTGTTAAGTGCCTATTCCACCCATATTTCTCTTACCTTTGATTCAAATACGGGCATATATTTCCCTTGTATTGTTATTGAACTAAGTAAACAAAACTAAAGATGGCATCTTGAATTTTTTCCCTGTATCGATCCTCTGGAGTTCCCTATCTCTTTCAAGCTTGTATTTCTAGAGCTGTCACTTGCTGCGAGCATAATCCCAGAATGTGGCTGTGACTTGATCATCCTGGGAGTAATTTAGGAGGCAGTAATTTTGGAGTTACCATAGTGGAAGTCTGTAGATAGTTTTGCTGGAACTATGTAAAAATACTGCTAACACCTTGAATTCAATTTTGAAGTGTTTCTTCATTTCCATAGCCACACTTACCACACTGTATTTTGTCCTCTTTGCAGGTGTGTTTTAAAAATGGACCATCATTGCCCATGGTATGTCCTTTTGATTCATTTCTATCCTCTAAAAGGGTCAGAGTTGTTTAATATACCCACTTTCCTAAGCAGAGTTGAAACATGCCCATTTTTGCTGCCATAATTCAATGTACTTTGTACTTAGCCCCGGGGGTGGGGGGAGGAATAATGTTTTAAAACGAAGTTGAAAATATCAGTAAAGGTATGGTAGTGAGTCCCTGAGGTCACAAAGCTAATAGTCTCCTGTCCATTAACTTTAGCAATTGAGCACAGTAATGAAATACAGCACAAGTATTTCTCTTCTTCAACATCATGCAATTTGTTTCTGTTTCTAGCTGACTTGATTTTGAAATGTTAGAGATAGTTAAGTTCAGCGATTCTTCTATAAAAGTTGTGTGTCTGACCTAAAAAAACCAATGTGGAATCACCCAATTACAAAGAGAGCGCGTCAATGTGTAGCTACTAACATGTTTTTACCAATGAAAATCTAGGTTTGCTTGGGTGTTTCAGGAGCCATTCTAAAGCTGTTAGGTAGTTCAGGTGACTCTGTGCTGGTAAATAAAAAGAGAAACAAGTGAGGTGTGAACTTGTTTTTACAGTCTGTTTCTATTAAGGAACCTCTGTCTCTGTCGGGTGTCTACACAACATGTAATGAAGCAGCAGGAGTCGTGCCTCCTTTCGTTAGTCCACTTAAGTGTGTTCTCAGTCAATAGGTCCTGATTTCAAATTGGTTTTCTCTTCTTTTTTAGGGTTAATAACTGCATTGGATTTTCCAACTACAAATTTTTCCTTCAGTTCTTAGCTTATTCCGTTCTCTATTGCCTGTACATTGCGACAACAGTCTTCAGCTATTTCATCAAATACTGGAGAGTAAGTTTATAAAATCCTGTTTGGTTCCCCCCAAAGTAAATGCATAGTCTCTCTAAATGAAGCACTCCTCACACTATATCCATTTGCATTTTGAAATACCTACTAATGAAGTTATCTGTAGCATGAATCTTAGAAAGTCTTATTAATAAAATCAAACCCGAGGCCAGTTATTGGGGTGAATACTGGAAGAACAGAGAGACAGAACAAGCCACAGCTATCTCACCTCGCCAGATCCTCAGCTGGTCCTGTTTCCTCAGACTGGAAGCCTCTGAGTACTCATCCAGAATGAATCTTAGCTGAACTGTGTTGCTCCAAAGCCTGAAAGCTTAACCAGCCAAAATGCTTAACCACCCAAATGCTTAACCAGCCAAATGCTTCTGGTTTCTGGTCCTTACGCCTTATAAACCTTTCTGCTTTCTACCACCACTCCCTGGGATTAAAGGCTGCTTTCTGGGATTAAAGGCATGAGTCATCATGCCTGGCTGTTTCCAATGCGGCCTTGAACTCACAGAGATCCAGAGGGATTTCTGTCTCTGGAATGCTAGGATTAAAGGCGTGTGCTAACATTTTCTAACCTAAGTATCTTGTGGCTTTTCTGTTCTCTGACCCCAGATAAGTTTATTAAGATACACAATATTTTGGGGAACACAATACCACCACAGTTATCAGAAGGCAAGGCAGTAAAAACTAGTTTTCCATGTTGAATATTCTGAAGTTTAAGAAACCGTTGAGTAAAGATTCCAGTTAAACAAGTTTTGTGTCGTCTGTGACTATCTTGCTAATGCTCAGGGAGAGTAACCTCTCTGCTGACCCACTCTTTAAAATTTATGTCTGTGGTTGAGTTTTAAAAACTAATTACAAATCAATAGTTTCTTAAAACGAGAGAGAGAGAGAGAGAGAGAGAGAGAGAGAGAGAGAGAGAGAGAGAGAGAGAGAGAGAGAGTGTTAACAGGAATTAGAAAATACTTAGTAATTTCATGTTTAAATGGGAGCTGCAAAATTTCTGTTGGGAAGAAGAGAAACTGACTTGCACTTAAGCCCGAAATCAAACAAGGAGTCTCTTTTGCACTTCATGGGGAGGGGGGCTTTTGTTTTCTGAGACAGGGTTTCTCTGTGTAACCCTGGCTGTTCTGGAACTCTCTCTGTAAACCAGGCTGGCCTCTGTCTCTGTCTTGAGTTTTGGAACTGACTAAAGGCATCTGCCACCACACCCACCCTCTCTTTTGAAAATGTCTGACAAACAGTGGGTTGAGAATTGAGAGAAGCAGGGCTAATGCTGGCTAAGATCCAATGAAACAGATATTGATTCTAATAATTATCACAAAATCTCAAAAAGCAACTTACTTTCATCTGTCTCCTACTTGGAGATATCAGTCATATCCCATCTATTTTAAAAGATAAAGTTAGATTTTCCATTTGAATATGTGTATAGGTAAAATATCATGAACTATGTCCTTTGTCAACTTCAGCTGGTTAGACTTTCAAAGAAATCCCTTTCCTCTACTATTGTACAGTTGTGAAGGTATCCACAGTGAGAGTTCTCTAAGCTAATGTGAATAGGAAAACACAAATGTGAGCAGAGCTACTGGTTATTACTTTAGAAAATTTGCAAGAGCCTTATATAACAGGGATATCCCATCTAAGCTGGAGCAGTAAACCAGCAGGAAAAGAACAAAATCACATGGTCAGAATACAAATTATAAGGAACGAGAGAAAAGAAAAAGACAAGGCACCGAGAAGCTAAGTAGCTAAAAATATTTAAATTATGAATCAGTGCTTTATTCCTAGTAGTATAGAAAATTACACTTTCTATTCAACTTGATTAATCAGTTCAGATATTTAATAGCTGTAAGAATCAGGAGCTACATAATGGATATCAAAATCTCTAATTCAAACAAGCTACAAGCAGAATGATGAGGTGTTCTCATGCATTTTCTTCAAATAGGAAACATTTCACCAAGCTACACATCTTGATATCTCTTCTTTGACCCCTTTCCACAGCACAAGATCTATTCCCTATTCCTCAGGTTTCCATGACCTATTTGGCATTCCATCTGCATGCTGAGCTACTTCTATAAATATGAAGAAAATCTGCTGCAGCCAATCAGCAGGGAAGTGTGAGCCTTGATCTTTCTTACATACCTTTCTTGATCCTTAACACAGTGGGCTACCATTTAATTGTGAGTCTTTACCTTTATCACAAAGTAAACAACATTGTATTTCACACATTTTGCCTTAGCTCCCCTAGTCAGCCCATAATCAAATACCGAAATTGAAGGCCGCTGCTGTATGCTTTACTTCACTATTAAAAGATGATAACTGAATATAAATTCATCTCAAGAAATGTGCCAGAAGCACAAGCAAATCCACGACGAGCATGGCCTTCTTCTTTTCCTATCCCTTCATTGTTTCTCCTCCTCACTAAACTAGCTTATGCCTGTCACTTGAGAGGGCATGAGGCCTGTCACAGCTTGTCCTTACACTGAAAAGGGCATTGACAATTGGGGAAATGGTTCTTTGCAGTTGCTCTGGCCTTAGGACCGCATTAGTATGGCTTAGGGATTGATGGCTTTCTGAGTTTAAATTGAGCCTCTTTTTAAAATAAAAAAGTAAACACTGCCATATATTTTTAAAGCCATATCAAAGAGACAAGCTGCGCTCCCAGGAACAGCAACGTCTATTGTATGATACTTTATGGTTCTTGAAGTATTTTTATATCTATGATTTCATCTTATCCTTACTGCAACCCTGTGAAGTAGCCAAAGCAAAAGCTATTTGTCACATTCAAAGATGACAAAACTAAGGTTTACAGCAGTTAAGTGACATGCCAAAGATCACCTGGCTTGTAAATTTCGAAAGGAGAACTTGAACATAATTCTGCCCGTAAGCCTCTGTGATCTTCCATGTACTATGCTTATGATGGTTCTGCTATAGATAGGCTTTAACTCTTTTAGAATAAAGGATTCAGAAGACCATCGCATCATTTCTTGCCTTTCAGTATTGAATTCAATTCTGCTCTCAATGGAGAGATTAATCTTTGCCTTTTGCAAAATTAATAATGCACACCTACCACGCTAGGCTATGGACCTCTTTACAAAGGTGATAAATTATTATTTTAGAAACATAGTAATTATTATTTTACAGTTATTCATCTGAACTGTCTCGGATAATCATTGCTCTGAGGGGGTTTAGCTTGGTTATCTCCTGGAAACGCATTTTTGAACATAGGACTGCTTGCACAAGAAAAGTTGATATTGTGAACCCTATCAAAGTACAACACAGCAGATATTCTAAACCAGACAGGCGAGTTCTGAAAGAGTGATGAGGAAAGGCTGGGAGCAGAGCTATACAAGATGTGAGCAGACTTTCATAACAACCTCACTTGCTCAGCCATTTCCTATTGCCCATTTTAACGTAAAAAAGTAAAATCAATGTAAGTTCTAAGAACTTTAAACACATGCTCAGAAAGTAGAGATCATGAAATCAAAGTCTCAGTGAAGGTGAGAAGCACTACAAAGCACCATTTGAAATCTTACCCAAGAACAGCAAAAACAAAAACAAAAAATAGAAGGAAAAACATAACTATGAATCAAAACAACCATGAACCAAACCAATCCAATTTAGGTGCTTAGGTAGGTATGTCGTGGAGGGAATATTTCAAGATGGAGAGTTTCAGATAAAGGCTCCTAAGAGTTGAAGTCCTTAAGGCAGCTGTTTCCTTACTGTTCTGCCCTGTGCACCCAGACCACCCCTCAGCTGAGAGCATCTGATGCGCTTGCTTCCCCTTATCTTTATACTGCAAACATATCCGGCCTGGAAGAGCTCTAGCATTTCCTTATGTCGAAATGAATAAAAATAGCCTATGAGGAAAGACAGAAATCTATAGTGTTTGAACTTAGCAAGTGTTGCCTAGCACTGACCTTCTGTAGCTGGAGTAGAATAAGATCGTGCAGAAGTTGAGTTCCACTTCACTTAAGAATCACTTTAACTTTATCACTGGAGGGCATCTAGAAATATCTCAAGCCAATTCGTCATGCCAAAACAATGGGCATTAAGGGAATGGAGGAAATAAGCCATAATCATTCCTCCAGATGTTCATTCTAAACTTCAAAATGCTTTCCAAGGTTCTTTTCTGAAGACAAAATGTCACGTTATGCATGCTATAGAACTTTAGAATATTCATTCTCTAGAATTGCGTATCAAATATAAGCTGGTGCCACATGAAAAATATGTCCAAGTTAACTACAACAATCTTTAACTTCCTGCTTTTACAATTACCTGTAAAATCCTGCTTGATTTTTACTGTCCAAATGGCTACTCCACAGGATGTAGTATAACAGCACATTCTACGTCAGCTGTTAAAAAAAAAATTTTCAACAGCTTTTAATTCAGGTCATGACTGCAGGTAAGACATTTTAAATTTCTGTGTTTTAACTTCTTATATTCATCAGTCTTGCATTTTCAACACACACATGGCCAGAGAAACATGATGTATAAAGAATACTGGTATAAAGAGCTGGAGAAATGACTCAGTAGTTAAGAGCACTGACTGCCCTAGCAAAGGACCCAGATTCAGTTCTCAGCTCCCACATGGCAGTTCACAGCCATCTACAACCCCAGTTCCAGGGGATCTTATGCCCTCTTCTGGCCTCTGTGGGCCCCAGACAAACATGTGGTACACAGACATACATGAAGGCAACACACACACACATACACACACACACACACACACACACACACACACACACACACACACACACACACACACACACACACCAGCAAATATTTAAAAATAGGTCTTTCTCGTACGAGGTTTTATTCAAAAAGTAAAAGAATTCTATTATAGCCACCCTCAGACAATAGAATGAACAGTATTAACCTTATGATTCCCTAGACAGTGATTCATAATTCTCAAGCTAAATGGAATATGGGCTTCACACCAATTATGACCTGAGCATGCATATCTATTTTATATTATTCTATTCTAATTGTTGCATTATATATTGCACTTAAACAAGAATCCATTTTAAACTTTGTAAGCTAAGAACATACCTATAATAAGATATCTGGATCAACAATTTTGTAAAAATAAATAAGTAACAATCAGGACCTGCAGGTGGCTTGACAGGCTAAAGTGCTTGCCAAGAAGTCTGATGAGTTGAGTTCAGTACCTGGAGTCTGCATAGTAGAGGGAGATGACTGATTCCCACAAGTTGTCTTCTGACTCCATACCTGCACATTTTGGCATGTGCATACACACACACACACACACACACACACACACACACACACACACACACACAAGTAACTATGTAATAAAATTTAAGCTTACAAAATCTGTTTTTAAAATTGGAGCTGGATTTTCACATGTGAAAAACTACTAACCTCTATAGCAAAAGTAGCCAAGCATTCCCACTTTAATGTTTTGTTTTGTTTATTGTTTCTTTTCTAGGGGGAACTGCCCAGTGTTCGCTCTAAGTTCCATGTCCTCTTTCTCCTCTTTGTGGCCTGCATGTTTTTTGTGAGCCTTGTGATTCTCTTTGGTTACCATTGTTGGCTTGTCAGCAGAAACAAAACTACCTTAGGTAAGACTGAATGTTAAGATTGGAAAATACGTATTAATGTATATTACTGTGCCCTATGGGCTGTGCCCTAGGGAGAGAAAAACTAATAGTAAAGTATTTTAGTTTTAGTGACACCCCTTTGCCTCCAAACTGAGACAGATGGAAATACATTTTCCTAAACTAGACAACAATAGTGAACAAAGCTTAGGGACTACACAGAGCATTCCTGAATCGAATCCCATAGAGAACCCAAAATGACCATAGTTCTTATAGTGCACATTGGGCAATACATCCCCAAACTCACATGTCTGACTTCTAAAAAGTATTCACATGAATAAATGAATTTCAGAAGGAAGAAGTGACACTAAATAATGAGAGACAATCTAATTGATGATGCATAACCCAAAACAGACTCCTTAGAAATAATCTAAATGAATAACAAAAAATGAATGCAAAAATCCAGGCCATCAAGATCTCTCAGCATGTAAGGGTGTGCTGTGGATATCGTTCTGTATAAATTAAACACTGATTGGCCAGTGGTCAGGCAGGAAGTATAGGCGGGACAAGGAGAGAGGAGAATTCTGGGAAGTAGAAGACTGAGAGGGGGAGACACTGCTAGCTGCCACCATGACAAGCAGCATGTGAAGATGCCGGTAAGCCACAAGCCACGTGGCAAGGTATAGATTTATAGAAATGGGTTAATTTAAGAGTAAGAGCTAGACAATGGTAGGCCTGAACTAATGGCCAAGCAGTTTAAATAATGTAAGAGTCTGTGTGTTTATTTTATAAGTGGGCTCTGGGACTGGCAGGACTTGGCGGGAGCTGGAGAGAAATTCTCCAGCTACAGGGTGCTTGCCAGGAGCCTGACAACCTGAGTTCAAGCTCCAAAACCCACATGGTAGAAGAGAGAATTGATTCCCACAAGTTGTCCTCTGTCTTCTACACTCACACTATGACATGCACACATAGGTGTGCGCACATAAACACACACAAAATCAACCAATAAATTTTAAAATGGAAATTTATTTTTATAAAGAATCAAATTATTTCCAGTCAAATGAGGATACAAAAGGACCATACAAATGAGATATGCATATTAAATCTGCAGAAAATCAGGAAACTAAATGACTTGGTTTTTTCTTTTTTTGCTGTCAATTAGTACTCTTAAGCTTGTTATTATATATAGAACAAAAGGATTCTAGTGCAATAATTACTTCATCTATGGTGAATGTTTATATGGTCTACAAGTCAGTACACAAGGAATAAGAAGAAAGTGTTCAAGTGTTAAACGTTTAACTAGGATGGATTAGATTTGAGAGGAATTTAGTGTAAAAGCCACTGCACTTTAAGAATTCATTTGCTAGGGAAGTCTTTGCACCCATTTTTCTAAATCAAATATATGTGTAGCACTTAGTACTTAGGGTAGTAAATTAGCACATTTGGTTGAGATAGCTACAAAAGTAGAAAAGTACTAAAAGCTTCATGATAACAGGGTCTGAAAACAAAGGACAAATGGGAAATGGTGAGATGCAGCCAGAGCCCAACAGTGAAAGTGTTTGCTTAATGGGATAAATGTGTGTCTAAAAATAATATGCACTAATGCGGCCCAATTCCTCATAGTCTTTGAGGTGATTACAGTTCACCCGTTGACATTTTGTCTGGAGTAAAACTAGGTTTTTTACATTGGAGGTTTCATTGTGAACATCTTCATTGCTGAAATGTTTCAAAACCAAATCAATGTCATTACCATCTCTTATGTGTCATTACTTTGGTCCCAGATCTACAGATGGAGACCATTTGGCTGTTGTTGCCACTTTGATTCAAATAAAGTACATTTAAATCTATTTCTGCACTCCTTCAATTCAGCAGTCCAAAGACATGCCCCTTGTGAATGCTGTATTATTGTGTCATTGTGTATTTACCCTGCCTTAAAAAAAAGAGTATAAATTCCTCATTTTCAAAAACAATTTTACTTTTTATTAAATAATTAAACTGAGTTTTACTAGGTAATTTAGCGATAATTAAGAACGTGTACCTATGCTAAAACAGCAAAAACATATCATAAATGCAGGCCACGCTTTTGGAGAGATGTAAAATCATTATAGTGATGAAATGTATTCCTTTCTTTCTCTTCTTCTTTTCCAAATCTCCTGGACTGTCTTAGAGGCCTTTTGCACTCCAGTATTTACAAGTGGACCAGAGAAAAATGGGTTTAACCTTGGCTTCATCAAGAATATCCAGCAGGTGTTTGGTGATAATAAGAAGTTCTGGTTAATACCTATTGGGTCCAGGTAGGTAATTATTACCACTGAAAGCAGCTAATGCCGAGCTGTGCATTAAAGCAGCAAATTTATTTTTGAATGATTTTGTTTGAGAGTTTCACACATTTATAATGAATTTTAGTAACTTTCACACTCCATTCCCCTTTCTCATCCCCTCCTCTCTCCTGTTGAAACCCTTCTTCTCAACAAGTGTTCTACTTTCCTATCTTTTCGTGTGTTTCTCACTCACTTAAATTGGTGTTGCTGGCACGTGCATGGGTGAGAGGCTATTTACTGGAGCAAGGACAATTTTTCAGTGGTTACACCACTGAGGAAAACAATACTCCTTCCCCCAACAACTGTTAATTACCGATAGTCCTACAGACAGGGATAGGGCCTTGTAAGTTCCTCCCCTATCTATGATGAAGTGGCAATGGGCTTAATATTGTGCAAGTCTTGTGTAGACAGCCATATCTTCGGTGAGTTCGTGGGTGTAATGGCTGTGTCATGTCCAGAAGATAGCTTTCTGTTGCCCATTTCTCTACCCTCTAGCTCTGACCTTCTTCCTACCATTTCTTCCATGATGTTCCCTAAGCTTTGGAGGAGTCATAGAGCTGTCTAATTTAGGGCAGAGTATGCTGCCATCACTTATTCTCACCCTCTTCACCAGTTATGGGTTTTTACATTAACTACCTCCCATCTCAGAAGAAGCTTCTGTGATGAAGGCTAAGCATTCTCAATAGCAAATTAGACTCAATTTCTTTTTTTTTCCTTTTTTTTAATTAAGACATTTTTTTATTCATTTTATACACCAATCAAAGATCCCCTTCTTCCCTCCTCCCACCCCTCCAGCCTTCCCCCCCCCCCCACCGCAACCTACCCCTCATTCCCTCCTACAAGAAGGTAAGGCCTCCCATGGGGAGTCAGCAGAGCCTGGTCCATTCAGTAGAGGCAGGTCGAGACAAGGTCTCACTATGTATCCCTGGTTGGTCTGGACTCGCTATGTAGACCAAACTGGCCATGAACTTATTGCAATCCTCCTGATTCTTCCCCTTAACTGTTGGATTAAAGGCATGTGTCACCATAGCCATCTGTCAATGCAGATTTGGTATCATCTAGTAGGTACAATATTCCCCAAGTTTCTCACTTCTGTTTGTATAGAGACAAATCATGAAGTGGAGGCATGAAAAAATAAACACTTTCATGATTTGTTTGTGGAAAGGAAAACTGGCACCAATTTTTAGTAAATTTGACAATACATATTAAAAACATAAGAATAAACATATCAGCCAGGCGGTGATAGCACACGCCTTTAATCCCAGCACTCGGGAGGCAGAGGCAGGTGGATCTCTGTGAGTTCGAGGCCAGCCTGGGCTACAGAGTGAGTTCTAGGAAAGGCTCCAAAGCTACACACAAAAAAAAACAACAACAAAAAGAATAAACATATCCATTATCCTAGTGGTTATATTTCTTGGAATGTACCCTAAAAATGAACTACACACAAAATGTTCTTCACAGTCTGGGCATGGAGATTCATACTTGTAATTTCAGAATTTGGAAGCTTAAGGAAAGAGAATCATGAATTTGACATCAGCCTTTGTCTACAGAGGGAGTTCCAGGACAGCCAGGGCTACACAGAGAAACCTTGTCTCAGAAAAAAATGTGTAGAGCTAGACTTCTATCCTCTGCGTGACTTTGTGACCCCGATGAAACCACCACAAACTACAGGAGCTCTAGAGTGGAGAATGTCTCAACCTTTTTATATCCTTTATGTTCACTGCTCAAACAGCACTATATTCATATTCTCTTGTTGGAAAAAAACCTTTGCTGGAGTCAGGTAATAATGAAGGTTAAATTCTCTCCTTCCCTCCCTTGCTGTATCAATACTTCCTCTATGCCAGTTAATGTTTTATAGGGTTATTTGTTTAAGGTGTGGTATAGTCAACTCTTCTAGCTATAAATACCAAGACAAAATTTGTCAATGGTAACATTGATTAATAACTGTTAGCAGGAATTAGCTATATATACTCTGATCACACACTGAGACACACAAATATTCAAACTCCATTACCACATCACTCTAGTATAAAAACAAAACCAAAAATCAAAGCCCATTCACTTACATAATCAGTGTTCTAACATTTTCTGAAGGGCAATATTAATAAAATATATAAACTTTTTATTGGCAACATTCAAAAACAGGAGAAAAAGTACATATAGTATCAAATAGATCATCTGAAAGTCATTCAAAGTTAAACTCAGAATGCACTCAGCTATATAGACTCAATTGTTGAAACTGTAATAGTATCTGGCTAGGGCCACCATGATTCATGCCATGGCCTCCTATCTCTGAATGGCCAGAAATTAATTAGGGACATGCTCCAGATTACCATAGAGATCCACAAAGTAGCCTCACATGTACCTAATTGTCCCTAGAATCTACACTGCAGAGATACCTTGCCATTTCTCTTTCCCATTCTATGTTACAAGTCAAATAAATAACAGGGTATAGGAGCATTCTCTCACCCTTCGCAGCAGCTTTTCCCACTATATCTAGTGATTGTGAGTCTTCTCATCTCGCTTGAAAATTTAGAATCAAAACAGTTTGATAATGGGATATAATTGGAACTATGATAGTTAAATGATATTTATGAAACTGTATATGCATATTACTACTATACTGGGCATTGTGGAAAGCAAGTTAAAGAATGTCTTACAAACAAAAATAGTCAGCATTGATACAGACAAACAAGACATGGAAATTGAGAGTAATGCAGCAAGTAGATGATAATATTTGGATGATGATAAGAGCTTATATTGATCATGGCTGTAGACAAAAGAACTAAGAATCCCCAAGTTTTGTGGTGTATATCTCAGTGGTAGAATTCTTAAAACAACACAACCCCAAAGCTGTGATTATATCTCACTTCTAAGAAGATGATCACTGTCTCAAAAGTTTATAGTATATAGACATGATGACACACACCTATATCCCAGCCTTGAGGATGCTGAGACAGGAGAGTACAAGTTCTGGATCAGCCTAGGCCACAAAATAAGACCTTGCCTGAGCTGGTGAGATGGTTCAGTAGATATAAATGTGCTTACCACCAAACCTAACAACCTGAATTCAATCCCCAGGATCCATATGGTGAAAGAAGAGAACTTATTTCCATATTGTCCTCCACATATGCACCATACATATACATACATATATGCACATTCTCTCTCTCTCTGTGTCTGTCTGTCTGTCTCTGTCTCTCTCTCACCCCTCCCTCCTGTGTGTGATTAAATTTGAATAAAAAAGGAAGTTTGTGTCAGTTGTAAACTCGATACCTTTCTTTCCCACCAGCCCTGGTGATGGACACTCCTTCCCTATGAGGTCTATAAATGAGTCACAGAACCCACTGCTGGCAAATGAAGAACCCTGGGAAGACAACGAGGATGACAATCGAGGTGAGTAGGCTCAGAAGAAACCCTTTTCTCTGCATGGCACACTCAACACTACATGACCTATCTTAATAAAACCATGCAGAGGCAGGCGGTGGTGGCTCACGCCTTTAATCCACTCAGGAAGCAGAGGCAGGTGGATCTCTGTAAGGTCAAGGCCAGTCTAGTCTACAGAGCGAGTTCCAGGATAGCCAGGTTGTTACACAAAGAAACCCTGTCTCAAGGAAAAAAATGTCCAAAGAGGTTTTTATAAGAATGACAACTTCATAAGTGCCCTCTGGGTTGAGGAGGATAAATATGGCCAGATTTGCTTAACAGAGATCCTGCATCAATATACATGGTAGAGAGTGATCAAGAAGGGACCCGAACATCAGTCTCTGCCCTGCACACAGGCATACACTCCTGCACACACATGCACTCTCACAATGCATACATGCATACACACATGAATACACACATACACATCCAAAAAAGAACCCACCTTTACAGAAGCATTAGATGGGAGCTTACGCAGTTCCTTACCAGCTTCATTATGCCATGACTTCCAACTCCACAGGTAAATCAGGGGACATAATAGACAGTACTGTGCATATGAGTAAACAATCTTCCCACATAATCACTCATGGTATTTTACTTGACTGCAGAGTTTTACTTCCATCAGTGGGCAACAGTTCACCTTTCTCTTCCCTCCTTCATTTTGGTTCAGTTTTCTTTAAAATCATATACACTTTAGAATGGTATAAATACACTACAAAGTGAAAGGTGTGTGGGAGCAAACTTGTACATGCCTCTAATAAGCGCAAAGGAAAAATATAAAAAGAGAACTTTGCCCTTCCAATTTCTTCCATCAGATCATTGGGTCATCTTGAGATGTTTTAGGAAGTTCTAAAGATAATATTCTCTTGTCATGCATGTTCTATTCTTTGTCTCTGTCACTGTACCCTGTGCTGTGTCTTCCATCTTTGCAAATGTCGTTAATACCAGCCATCAGAGAGTAGATTTTAACAATTGGTGAAATAGAGCAGTAGCTGACAGCAGTTTTCAAGTCGGGAATTTTAATAGTCACCATGAAGTGAACCTGGGGTAAATGAAGCTGAATGAGGACATGAAAATCTTTCAAGTGAGGGCCAGATGCAGAAGACAAGCTTTTCTAAATGTTCGCACAGTTACATTATCCAGGCCTGGGTTCTCTACCTGAAAATGCTATCGTAAAAGAAAGCATGTTTGGGGTTGAAAATGTCAAATCAGCCCTAAGCTTGTAATTAGAAAAGAAGATAATTCTTTTTTACATTTTTTTTTATTCATTTTACATGCCAACCACAGATTCCCCTCTCATCCCTCCTCCTGCTCACCCGACCCCCGGCTTCCCTACCCTGACCCACCCCTCATCCCCCCCTCCAACAGGGTAAGTTCTCCCATGGTGGGGACAGCTAATCCTGGTACATACAACTGAGGCAGGACCAAGCCCCTCCCCACTTTCTCAGGCGTGAGCAAGGTATACAACCATAGGTAATGGAATCCAGAAAGCCAGCTCATGCACCAGGGATAGATCTTGATCCCATTGGCAGGGCCTCTCAAACAGACCAAGCTACACAACTGTTTCCCATATGCAGAGGGTCTAGTGCTGTGGGATGTTCTGTATGGCAAATGTGTTGCTCTGATTGGTTAGTAAATAAAACACTGATTGGCCAGTAGTCAGGCAGGAGGAAGTATAGGCGGGACAAGGAGGAGAAGAATTTGGGGAAGTGGAAGGCTGAGTCAGAGACACTGCCAGCCGCCACCATGACAAGCAGCATGTGAAGATGCCGGTAAGCCACGAGCCACATGGCAAGGTATAGATTAATGGAAATGGATTAATTTAAGCTGTAAGAACAGTTAGCAAGAAGCCTGCCACGGCCATACAGTTTGTAAGCAATATAAGTCTCTGTGTTTACTTGGTTGGGTCTGAGCGGCTGTGGGACTGGCAGGTGACAGAGATTTGTCCTGACTGTGGGCAAGGCAGGAAAACTCTAGCTACAGTCTAGTCCGGTCCCATGCAGGTTCCACAGCTGTCGACCTAAATTTCGTGAGTTCCTATGAGCTTGGTTCAGTTGTCTCTGTAGATTTCCCCATCATGATCTTGACACACACACACACCCCTTGCTCCTATAATCCTTTTTCCCTCTCTTCAACTGGACTCCCAGAGCTTGGCCTGGTGATTGGTTGTGTATCTCTGCATGTGCTTCTATCAGTTACTGGAGGAAGGCTCTATGATGACAGTTAGGATATTCACCAATCCAATTACCAGGGTAGGCCACCTCAATTGAAGAATGGATAAAGAAAACGTGGTACATATACACAATGGAGTATTACTCAGCTGTAAAAAAACAATGACATCATGAAATTTGGAGGCAAATGGATGGAACTAGAAAATATCATCCAGAGTGTGGTAACCCAGACTCAGAAAGACAAACATGGTATGTACTCACTCATAAGTGGATACTAGATGTAAATCAAAGCATAATCAGACTACAACCCACAGCTCCAGAGTAGCTAGGAAACAAGGAGGACCCTAAGAGGGATGCATGGATCGCCTTGGGAAGGGGAAACAGAAGAGATCCTGATGGATAAACTGGGGATGGGGGGGCATAAGAGGGGAGGGGATGATGGATAAGAATATGAGGGAATGGGATGGATGAGCTGGAGAAGGGATGGAGTAGGAGAGCAATGAAAGAGATTATCTTGATAGGGGAGACATTATGGGGTTAGGGAAAAGCCTGGTCCTAGGGAAATTCCCAGGAATCCATAAGGACGACCCCAGATTAGACTACTAGCAATACTGGTGAGGGTGCTTGAAGAAGGTAATTCTTGCCCAGCCAAAGAATTTCAAACACACACACACACACACACACACACACACACACACACACACACACACACACACACACTTCTACTCCCCTGCTTACTATGAGAAGTTGACTATGTTTTGATGTGCCATCCTCCTGCCGTTAGTCCCTCTGAACAGACATTAACTTTTAGCAGTCTCAGAAGATGGGAATTCTTATTTTGGTATTGACTCTTTCCAACAGAAATTGAAGACATACCTAATCTCAAAGTTGCTTGAAATAAATCCATAATAAAAAACCAGTTCATATGTGAGCCTTGTATTGTCAAGCAGAACACTTAAAAGATATATGTAGTGCCACATCACATGGAAATTACTTTGGAGGGGATGGGTAGATGGCTTAGTTGGTAAAGTGCTTTCCACACAAGCATGAAAACCTGAGTTCCAATCTCCAGCATCCACCTAAAAACGCGTTTTACTTTATTATGTGGACATAGGTGTGCTAACCATAGTGTTTGCACAGAAATCAGAAACGGCCGTGGGTTTGGTTCTCTTGCCGCTTTGGCATGAGTTCCAGGGGTTAGACACAGGTCGCCTGGTTTGCACCACTGCCTTTACCCACCGAACCATCTCCCCACTCGAGACATTACCTTTTTGGAGCAGCCTCTAATTCTGGTCTTTTTCAAAAATACTCGATTATACTTTTTTATATAATTTCATATTTTATAAAATATTTTTTTATTTTTTCATTTTTTGACTTTAATAATCATGTTATGTAGACACTAATATTTTATAATTAATGAAAGTGATATTAACTAACTCATACAATATCACATAACATGAATCAGATGGTGCTTGGAATCAAATGAAGGTATTGTGATTCTAAATCCTGAGATTTTTGCAATATCATGGTATGTCTGTCTTTTGGAAGAATAAATATGAGACATGGTGCTGTGATTTAGTGCCATCTTGTTATCTGAAGCATCCAACTTATTCTAAAGTCAGAAAATACGCCACAGACCACAAGCCTCTTTTAACTTTATAAAGACCACTATGGCAACTTACATAAATGAGATTTGAACCCATTCTTACGTCTAACAATTTTATTATATAATGGTACTTTTTTCTAGTACAGGTTTTCAAGCTGCACTGTTTGTTCAGTTAACTCTGTGTTATCCTCAGTCTTCTGTGTGTGCTCATATACAAACTGTTTGTGTATTTTTTTAACAATGCTTTAATCAATTCCTTGAATTTTTTTTTCTTATTTTAGTTTTTCGAGACAAGGTTTCCCTGTGTAGCCCTGGCTGCCCTGGAACTCACTCTGTAGACCAGGCTAGTCTTGAACTCAGAGATCCACCTGCCTCTACCTCCCAAGTGCTGGGATTAAAGGCATGTACCACCACCACCCAGAAAATTCTTTGATAATTTCATGCAATGTATTTTGAGAACACTCACCCCCCAGGTCCATAACGGCCCTATCCACCCTCCTATCCTTTCCTACCTAACTTTGAGTCCATGCTCTTTTAACAATTACATTCCCAAGAAAGGTGCTGTAAGTTAAAATTACATTTCAGTTCCCTTTAGAAATTATGTCAGGATTAATTGACAACCAATAATATAATGTTTGCTATACATTATGTATTTATTAATAGCATAATGTAAAATACTCAATGTACAAATGTATAAAATAATAAAAGCTGGCAACAGCAACTTGGTAAGTGGAAGTGTGATGTTAAAGCCAGGAAAAGTTTATCTTCTTTGAAATCCCTACCCTAATTTCATACAGGAAAGTACTAGGTTCAAAAAAACGCATCGATGAAAGCAAAGCATTTAAATAGGTTTCTCTGGAGAGGGTTTTTAAAATAAAGTATTTAATTAATGCACAAATACACAGAAGACGCACAAATGAGTATGCATATCTGTGTAATTTTCTGCAGAGATTAAACAGGCATCTTTTTAAAAGATTTTTGAGAGACTTGGAGTTGCATTTTAGCTTTTTGAGGAAGTGATCCAGAAATGTCTGTTACATTATTGCTTTTTCTCATTATAAAATTTCCTATAGCTTACATTAAAAAATTAGAGATGACAATAAAAGTCTTTATACTAATCTATTCCAAATGGAACCATTTCCTCCAAATTGGATGGATGGCGTCTACAACCCTGCCTATTGTGTCATGAATAA